CTAACTAATGCCAGTGCTGCACCCGAAGGACACATGCATGAGAAACCATCCAATGCTGGCACTCAGTGTGGGGATTAAGGAACAAGGAGGTCTTGAGGCCATCGTCGATTAAGACGGCGTGACTCAAGAGGGCTTGAGCAGTAGGGCTAGGATGGATTGAGTGGTTGGTGTGAAACTTTTGGAATCGGGAATGGATCATTTCATTGACAAAAGAAATTGTTAAGAGCTCATTGTCCTGAAAACGTTTTGGCTTTGGGCCGAAGGCCAAGCTACCTCCACTGGTAAGATCACAGCAGTACTAATACCAGTGCTGCACCCGAAGGACACATGCATGAGAAACCACCTAATGCTGGCACTCAGTGAGGAATTAAGGAGCTAGGAAGTCCATCGTTGATTAAGGTGACATGATGGGTTCTTGGGTGGGAATGTGTAGAGGGCTCGAGCAGTATGGTTAGGATGGATCGAGAGGCTGGTTGAAACTTTCAGAATCGGGAACAGATTGGTTCATCGACAAAAGGAATTGTTGAGGGCTCATAGTTCGGGCATTGTCCTGAAAACAATGGCTTTGGGCCAAAGGCCAAGGTACCTCCACTGGAAAGGTAATGGGGCTAACGAAGGAAAGGCCCAAAATTCATACTGGATAATGTATTGTAATGCATAAAAATTTAATAATTATTTGTCAATTGTTAGTATTGATATCCATTTGAAGTTGAAGTGGGGATTATAGCGGTTAATCACATCAGCATGGTGACTTAAAATATTGTCCTTTTCATACTGCATCCAAAGGTCTTCTAGTTTAGAGCAAGTCTCCAGTTGTCAGGGATGGATTACAAAACTTGTGCCTTGGAGTATTCACATTTTAAAAAGTTCAGAGAAAGTATTTACAGAGAGCAAAATTTTAAAATTACTAATAAAGTATTCTTTTTTATTTAAGGTCTTGGTTGAGATGAAAAAGTTAGTGTCACGAGCGGGATTTGAACCCATGACCTTTGTCTCAATACACTGCTGCTCTCATCACTTGAGCTATCGTGACTTCGTTCTACTTGGATCGAAAATTTTTGAAAGCTTGTAGGTTGAAATGGAGAGTTGGTGTCTGAATGGATCGAAGTCCTGATAGCTCAAGTAGTAAGAGCAGCAGTGTATTGAGACAAAGGTCATGGGTTCAAATCCCACTCGTGACAGTAACTTTTTCATCTCAACCAAGACCGTACATATAAAAGAATAATTAATTACAATAATAATTTGTTCAATTAGACCACTAAACAATGGATTATTAAATAAAATTCAAAATTAAATTAAATGGATTATTACTAATAAAATTCACTACCTTTCTAAAACATCGATTAAAAAATTTACTCTGTATAATGACACAGGGAGACAACGAAGTTAAGTGGCCTAACATTGCTGCCTCTTGGCCCAACCACATCAGTCCTCTAGCGACGTTTCAGACCCAAAGCCATTGTCCCTTGAGGTTGTTGCGATATTAGTTACATAATAAAGAGCTTTGACCATTTGTCCGAGCACTTTTGATTGGAAGGATTGGCTTTGCTGGATGTTAGATGGCTTGGCAGAACCCTCAGTTCCACTCAGTGGTATCAGTAAAACGTTATAAGGTTATTTTAGTGTTGGTGGTCAAGACAATATCACTCCTAGGAGACTAAGTAGTTGTACAAGCCTTCTATTAAGTTGTTGCCTCTTAAGTCTTGTGGGGATTCCACGTCAGTCTGCTGTCTAGGTATAGCCCTAAATATTTGACTTGAATGGAAGTCGGTATCTGTTTGCTGTTGATGTACAATGGAGAGCTTGAAAAGGAGTTTAAGACAATACATTTTTCTTCATTCAGTTTTGTCCTCCACTTTTTGCACCAGTCTTTGATAAACTTAAGGTGTTCTTGGATGTTGAAGGTAGCTTGGATAGGATTCGAGTTAGAGAACAAAATTGCGGTATCGTTTGCTTAGGTGATGATGGTAATTTGGTGTATAGGTAGTCTGCAGTAAAAATTATAAAAGGATGGCACCATGAATATTCCCTTGTGGGATATTGGCATGTATCGGCCTTATTTTCGAGAACTTGTTGCTGCATCTCACTCTGAAGCTGTGGTCTGTTAGAATTTCAGGAAAATAACAAGGAGAGGATAGGAAGCTTTTAAGTTTATAAACCATGCTAATGTATTAAAAGCCCTGTGCAATATCTTGAAATACATCCAAGCAATACTTTTTATTCTCTAGAAAGTGGACAGAAGCCAAGTTGGTTAGAGGGAATTATTTTATGAGTATCTGGTGATACCCGGATTAGACACTTTAAAAGGAATCTTTCGAGGATTTTAGATTGCAGAAAGAAGACTGATGGGTCTTTAGAAGGCTAAGTGGTTGGGAGGTTTGTGAGCTTTAGGAATGAGAATAATGACGGAATGCATATTTCCATAAGAGAGGATAGTCAATGAGGTAGGATGGCATTATGTATGTAAAATTTGGTCTGATGGCCGATTTACTTAGTCTGTCAGATGTGTTTCCGTTTTTCACTGTCTTGATGGTATCATATGTCTATATACTAAAATCCCATGAATGAGGACAGTGTAACGCTTCCCTGTGTATGAAAATTTTTTGGACCATCCACCATCCTGTCATATCTCAGGGAGAATCAATACTGGTGGACCATGCAAATTCACTAAAATTTTTGTTCTGAAAAAGGGGCTTCTACTGTATGGGGTTGTGAGTGACATAACAAAACTGAGGAGAGAACAAGTTGTTAGGTCTCACTCCAATTGACTGTGATATGGTCAATCATGACATTGATGTGTCGCTAGACTTTAGAGAACATTTGACATACAACATGATAAGACAAGAAAAATTATTCTACATCACGTTCCACTAGCATTTATTCAACATTCAAACTATTTCCTATAAAAAATGATGTGTATTACTCTTATATTCCATTACATAATCACACAAGACATGATCTAAACAACCTTACACTGCAACCATTTACGCTAATGTTTCTGCAATGTTTTACAGTATATCGAAGCAAAGGAGTGAGAGGTTGTTAAAATGCAGCAATTCAACAACCAATTCACTGAAGGATAAGATTTTTGTACCGAAATCGATTTTCGAACGAAACCTTTCCCCTTCACTTCAGGAACCAGTGGCGAAGAAATGATCCTCAGTATATAGTAGATGTTTGTAAATAACATTTTTAATGTATGATTTATGCAGGATGTTATAATTTTTTAATGTTTAGCCTGTGATGATGGAAAATATATTTGTAAATACAGCATTTAAGAACTTGTTATGATTTAAACTGTCTATATTAATAAATTAATGGACATTTTAATTGCAAAAAGACAAATTTTTTCTCAACTGTACAAATGATGTTTTATTTCTTCCAATGTCTGAAACATCTATCCTTAACCTTTTCAAGATGATGAACGTGATGTTATATTCTCGGTTCCTCCAGTGAAGTACTGAGAGCCATCACGCTTGTCTTTTCATTTTTAGAATGATGTTCAAATGAACAGTGTTGCTTAACAACGGCATTGTTTTCTGAATTCCCGAATCTCACACTATAACTTAAACATACTGCTTCTATAAATTTAAATCTAAAAGTGAAAAGAATTGAGCGCGATATCACGCTCTCAGTACCTCATGTAGGAAGTGCAGAACACTGATTATCCTGAATGGGTTAAGAAGCGAGTCATGGATAGAAGTCAAGTCAGGAGTGTATGGTTCTTTGTATATTGAGAACAAAGTGGCCAGGCGTTGAAATAAAATTTATGTACAACAGTCAAGTATCACTTCTCAAAAACCTTGTATTGTGCTTCATGTAAGTTCCTTCATAGCTTTATTGACTCTGATCACCATGATACACCTATTTTTGTTCTGTCTGTAAGACGTATTGCATTAATAAAGTTAAAACAATACAAAATTCATTAAATAAAGTAACCAGATTCACTAGTTTTCATGGTCTGCTTGACCAATTGATATCTTTCAATTAATTAAGTTTTTAGTTGAGATAAAAAAGTCAGTGTCACGAGTGGGATTCGAACTACGACTAGATATAGATAGATACGCCGCTGCTCTACCACTTGAGCTATTGTGACCTCGATCCATTCGGACACTAACTTCCCATCTCAACCCCACCTTTGAATTTTCCCTTCTTTTTGCCATTTTTCAAATGTTGTGTAATCTATTTGATTCTTGGCGATAAATGAAATGGCCACGGAGAGCTTTAGTGAAGATATACTTCATTTTAACTTATTAAATTCACTAGTTTTCATGATCCGCTTGACCAAGTAATATCTTATAATTAATTAAGGTTTTTAGTTGTGATAAAAAGTCAATGGCACGAGCGGGATTCGAACCCACAATCTTCGGCTAGATACGCCTCTGCTCTACCACTTGAGCTATCGTGACCTCGATCCACTTGGACACAACTTCCCATGTCAACCCCACCTTTTGAATTTTCCTTCCTTTTTGCCATTTTTCATATGTATAATCTATTTGATTCTTGGGGACAAATGAAATGGCCACGGAGAGCTTTGGTGAAGATATACTTCATTTAACTTATTAAATTCACTAGTTTTCCACGCTTGACCAACTAATATCTTTCAATTAATTAAGGTTTTTAGTTGAGATAAAAAACCAGACCACAAAACCTAGTGAATTCATAAGTTAAAATGAAGTATATCTTCACTAAAGCTCTCTGTGGCCATTTCATTTGTCACCGAGAATCAAATAGATTACACGGCATTTGAAAAATGGCAAAAAGATGGGAAAAAAGGTGTGTTGAGATGGGAAGTTGGTGTTCGAGTGGATCGAGGTCACAATAGCTCAAGTGGTAGAGAAGCGTCGTATTTAGCCGAAGGTCGTGGGTTTGAATCCCGCTTGTGACACTGACTTATCTCAACTAAAAACCTTAATTAATTGAAAGTAATCAGAGTTAGACAAGTACCCAAATAAAAACAACATTTTTAAAATAAAATATTTGTTTAATAATAGCAACAATTAAATATGTTAATACAAATTGGCAACTTGAACATTGATGTAATGTGAAGTTGACGAATGCCCTTGTGTTTTTGGTATTTTTGTGCTATAGTCACAGTCTTGTTTTTAAGTTTCTAACTCTTGGATTCAGAAATACATTCAAGGCAGTAGTTTGAACCTGAAAAAGATTAAACAAGATGAATTAATTACTTAAAAAGTAAATTAATAAATTTTGGCTATTCATACGAAAATAACATTAGAAAGTAATCAAAAATTATTTTTTAAACTGCAAAAAAATTATTGCTCTCAGAAGGCAACAATTTTAGATTATTATTTCGATAATAATAATTAATTTTAGATTATTAGTATTTAGAGTGAATGTGTAGTGTGAGAGGGCTGGGCAGATTGCCCATTGACCCTCAATTATAAGGTTAGTTAGTTAATAAGTGTGAAGGGGGCATCGGTGGCCACAACGGTTTAGTCATTAATTAACTCAAAATAAAAATTACTTTTTAAAAAAAGAACTTTTTTGTAGAGCTACAACTGTTCTACGGGGCTTACAGCACAGAATGATTAAAGATTACATTAATAAGCGCATAGCAAGGGAAGGTGTTTTTAGATCAGTTATCAGAAGACATATTGTCAGCAGTGTCGGATACAGGTTCCTTTCCTGTAACTATTGACACGTCACTCATTACTAGGTACAGTTCCTAGATTCAAATCCAACAGCCCTGCATTTGAACCAGACCTACTTATACATGTGTCTTTTTTCATTTTTTTATTTTTTTTTCAAAAACACTGGCACCCTGGATGTTGATATGACCTCTGCTGTTGTGAAACCAAAAGAAAGTATAAAGGGAGTTGGAGGAATATCAAGTACTCCACTACCCAAACTGGTTGAATGGTATGTAAATAGGAAATAATGTATTTAAGAGAGTGAGTTACAGGAAGACATTATGTTTAGGGCTGAATTGATCTAGCTGTTGATAGCCCTAGAGCCCAACCTCGTTGGCTGGACCGGTGAAATGAGGTCATAACCCAAGGTGGGTGATTCTCGAAGCCTGCTGGAAATTTATTGTAAATTGGAAAAGCTGGAATTGCTGGTGTTTTGCAAGAAGTCAAAGACTTAAATTTATGCACGTGTGTATTAATCTCGTGTTACAAAATTTGCCAGTAGATTCTACATTCAAACTGGAATCAAAAAGTCCTAATTAACTAACTACGGTCCGAATCTCAACAGTTTCGGAGTTATTTCACTTTTTCTGATTTTATAAACTGCTATTTCCAAACTTAGAGACCAGCAAATTTCAGAAAACGTACACCGTTTTATAACATTTTCAGTGGTGCAATTGCTTTGTTAATTACTTTTTTGTTCAAAGATGAAGAAATTGATGAAGGAAAAGAAAAAACTGTGGTTGAATGATTGGTAAGGTGGAAAAAAAACTTAAGTAAATTTTGAATGAATTTATTAAATGATTTTTAAAATTTTGATTCTAAACGCTCTCCACTCTCTGCAATGTATTTTTGGAGCGCTGGCACTGCATTAAACCTGCAAAACCCTTACATAAGATGTATATCAGGGTATTCTTCATTAGAAAAAGTAGCACAGTGTTAACAAGATATCACATAGATAACTAAAAATGTTTTGAATCTTAAAACTCTTTTATTCCGGGGAATAATAATACAATAATCCTTTAATCAAAGTTGCAGTCGTGTTAGTAAATCAGTAAACACTTGCACTATTTCGGTTTCGAACCCAAATTTAAAAAAAAGTTTAATAATTTCATTCAAAATTTCCTTAAGTATTTTCATTTTTTTTATTTTCCACCTTACCAATCCTTCAACCACGGTTTTTCTTTGCCTTGATCAATTTCTTCATCTTTGAAAAAAGTAAATAAAAAAAGAAATTGCACCACTAAAAAGGATATTAAATGGAGTACGTTTTCTGAAATTTGCTGGTCTCTAGGTTTGGAAATATTAGTTTAGAATCATCATAGTAAATTTTTCAACTTTGAAAAAAAAAAATAAAAAATTCAAAGTTCTCACTACTAAAGCGTTATTTCACTAACGCTTACAAGTTTAATATTGATCACATCTTACTGGAAATTTAATGTACTTTTCAATGGTCTCAATGGATTTGTCCAAACCTTTCTCTTTTGGAGTTCGTTTATTTGAAGCAAGGTTGTGAAGTCTCAAAAAATCAGAACAATAGAATAGCTCCGAAACTGTTGAGATTTGGACCATAGTTAATTGGGACTTTTTTGTTCCATTTTGAAAGTAGAATCTACTGGCAGTTTGTAACACGAGTAGCCGAACACCTTGTATAAATCAGTAAAATAAATTCTTTAAAAAATAAATAAATCCAACAAGTGTATGTAGAAAGACTTTACTAAACTGTTTATAAGACATATTTTACTTAATTAAATTATCTACTTACTTTGATCTGTAATGAATCATCCATTTTTTAAAAGGCGGCACCAAAAGCCCACCGAGGATGATCTGAATCGGGTGGTATACCAGCAGCGGTAGTGTAATTTGTGAGAAATGCGAATAACCAGAGAATAAAATCCTCAAAATTGGTATTCCTATAAGAGTAACCCAGCTAGTATTGCATAAATAATAAAGGAGTTGAATATTTTTCAAACCTAGCGTTAGAGATTTGTGTGTGGAGCAGAAAGTTATCGCTACAATATCAGGAGCAGTGAAAGCCTTCAGCTGTTGAGAGATGTGAAAACATGCGTACAGGAACATAAGCTGAATGTACACAACTGCAAAATAAACCGTGTAAAAGAAAATAATCCACATATATTAATCTTAACAATATCACTGATTAAAAAAAAATTATCACATACTGGAAAATATTTTTTTTTTAAACAATTAACATCTCAAACCCACCTAAAACAATAGTGACTAGAATATCCGAGGCATTCATTGGCGCATCGTGCGTTAGAAACGCATCACAGAATGTCGTGAAAATTACCAGGAGAAGCAGAACCTGGCTGATGGACGATAACGGCATCCTCAAAGGGTTCCTCACCAGGTTGAAATGTCTCACTAAAAGTCCGACCAGTAATGGTATTATCACTGACTGTGATAGTATAATGACGGAATTCACCATCGAAATTATTGCAGTAGAGCCCAACTGGAAATAGTTTATTTATAAAAATAAAACAATTTCAAATAAAAATTTAGTCCTTACAAACAGTAGTAAAATTATGGGTGATATTATTATGCCTAGAAAACTTCCAAGTATGGAATTGAATACTGCTGCTGCCTCATTGCCACCGATTGACTTTGTTATAATGATCGCCGACGATACAGGAGGTGGCATACAGCTTACTGTGATCAGTCTGTAAACAACATAATTTTCCTATTATAAAAAATTGTAATTTTGTAAAATTAAGAAATGAAATTAATATAATATGTTATATATAATATAACATTAATATAATAATATAATTAATAAATAAATTAAATTAATAAATTTTAAAAAAAAGGCCAGGGCCGACAGTGGGAATTGAGTCCATCACCACAGGGTCTATGAGCCGAGAGTCTATCACGCTGACCACTTGACTATGATTTATATACGATATTACAAATAAAAGTATAGAACACAAACTGAAAAAAAAAAAAAATGCGAGAATACAAATAATACTTTATAAAATTAAAGTTTAATAAAGCAGTTCAAATAGAATTATTCATTAGAATATAAAACACTAAATTACCCTTTCAGTATCCACTCGTTCACACCAAATATGAAACCAAGTAAGGCACAGAGGATTTGGACAACCAGTGGTATAACGACAAAAGTAAAAATCTGTATAAACGCATGAATCCTGTACGATTCAGCCGCTTCCACCAGGTCTACCAGCCTGAGCGAAAGGCCAGATATGAAAAATATCACACCGACTGCCCCATACTTGACCGTCCACTCGGGCTTTAGCACACCTAGAAAAGAGAAATAACTCTTGAAATTATAGCCTCCTTGAAGTTTAGGGGGTCGTTTCCGATTATCCTGTTCTGCCTTGCTTTTTCCCATCAGACATGAACATTTCACCTTTTTTAGGCTGGTCTTCCCTCTATCGTACAGTTCGATAGACTAAACTATAGATAATAAGGAAGAACGAGATGATCAGTAACGACCAAACTATTATTTTCAATGTTAAATTCCAAGACTAAAATGTACAATACAAAATAAATACTTATTTCCATAATATTTATATTGCCACCTCTGTTAGGAGAAAACTAGATGACAGAATTCTCCCCATTCACTGGTTGGAAAAGATAAATCTACTAACAAACTGGTCTAGCAGATCTGGATTTTTAGTGTTAGATAATCATCAGGCAGAAACGTGCAAGCAAAACCATTGTTTCCAACCAGGGAATTGATATACTCATTCCACCTCAATTATTTCTATCGTCTTTATTCTGGTTTGCTTATTTTCACTGACATCTATTAGAACTTTTTGCCTCTTTCCTATCCTTCCCAGGTGAAAAGTCAAAACAGCCCTGACAGACGAAACCAGTAAAACTATTTAATTACCCAGGTTGATCAGAAATTATAAAATAATTACAAAATGTTAAATTACAAGGTCAAAATGAACAAAACACAAAACAAAATACATATTAGCATTATAGACAAATAAACTACTATATAACAGCATAATCTCTGATCATTTTGAACAATTTATTTTATTTTATTTTTTATTTTGCAATCTTGGTCAGTTAGTCTGTCCCAGAAGGCAAAATATCCAAATATGTCGGAGAATCAGAGAATAGGGAAAATCGGGATCAGAGACTTAAAAAACACTCCTTATGTTTCACAATATGTTGGATAGTTTCAATGGGCAGATCGGCAAATCATGTTTGTTATTAATAAATATGAAAGCAGTTGCCAACGTATAATCTTCAGTTTTTAGTTTAATAGTTACAATGTTTTCACAAGAAAGATCAATTATAAAAAATGTTCAAATGTAATCAGAAAATTGCATTGTAATAGTGTTGTGCAATGAGAAATCCACAATTTTACTTTAGAATGGCCATGCAAAAAAAAAAAAAAAAAAAAAAAGTATTAGCTTATAAAATGTTTTATTAGCTCCAGTTTTATTAGTTTAATGGTCTGATTGACCAGATTACTTCTTTCAATTAATTATGAAACTTTCAGTCTTGGTTGAAACGAAATTAACTTTTTTTTATTCGCGCTAATAAATTATGAAACTATAAACAATCAGATTTTGATTATTGTTGGTCTGCGAGTCGGTGAACTCATGCTGTACCCTGGGTACTTTTTGGGTCTGTGTCACTTGTGGGTTTGTTTTGAAGAACTGAGTTCCTCACTGAAGATGGCACAACGCTGAAACAAGTTTGAAGCAAGTGAAGAAGGACCCAATAAGTGATCCAGGCCGGTTCAGCATGTATTAAGATTTTGTAAATTAATTGTTATATGCCTCAATTATTCTGTAGGAACTTTTATTTTAGACAGAATCCAACTAGGCCAAACAGCAAGCCCCTAAAAAGATGTAACCAAACAAATGCATCTTTGCAAATAAAAACATAGACTACAATAGCAGAAGGGATAATAAAAAGTTGAGTTTTTTTTAAATTGAAATGATTGGATATTTTTCAATATATATAAAGTGGGAGGTTTATGGGCCGACAATAAGCTGAAGTCATCACCAGCCCTCTGTGTGCTTTCCTTCTTTTTCTGATCTTTCAAACGGATTTTTCAACTGCAGCTAATTGAGCGTCTTGATTTTTATTGACTCTCTGCTTTTATATGGCTACTACAATATCTTAAAATGCTACTCTCTCATTTGTACCTCAGAATGTCAACTACAGAATAGACACAATACATACATACTATAAACATAGAAATCTGGTCACATTCACTCCCCAGAATACTTGACATTCTGAAATGAAAAATTTGTGTCACAGGTGGGATTCGACCCCACGACTTTAGGCTTTTACATATTTTTACTTAAGCTAAAACTTTAGCTGAAAGTCGTGGGTTCAAATCCAGCCTGTGACACAAAATTTTCATTTCGAAAAAATTGTGTATAATTATTTATATAATTAAGTAGAAGGTGATAAAATAATTAAAAATTTAGTATCCCTACAACCCTGAGGTACTGGAACAGCGATCTGTGCCCGTTGCCATGCCCCATGGCTACGCACAGGTCCGATGATATGTCAGAATACTGTCTACAAATGCCAAGCTTTCTACAATTAAAAAGGTGCTTGGCTGTTATTCAATCCTCGCATGATGGGCACCTATGCAGCCGCTCTCCGGCCCATGCGTTTTTCTTGTATGACCTATGCGTAATCGGCTATTTTCACTAATTCATTCTTCATAGCCCAATTGTCCAGTGTGCGAAATAGGTGGCAGATACCAAAGTTGTAAGTGCAAGTGTTTTTGTTTTGGTTAAACAGGCAGAATTTTTATATTTGGTGGCTTACCCCCCGTGGCTCCTAGGCTGGGGAATAACTGTGCGAGGAGAATGCATAGGAGGACACCGAATAGGAACCAATTTCGCTTCAATAGCTGCCTCAGGTCCCTCTTGTGCACATATACCATCCTACTATCCTAGGACCTAGGGACTGTCGCTGTCCGCTGTCGACAACCCGATCTTCGCCTCCTTAACATCTGCGTGTCACTTGGCCTCGATCTTTTCCCCACCAAAAAAGTGACATCACACCAGTAAATATTCTGGTGTTTAATCTACCCTAGCTTTGATACTTCTAATGAACTCATCACTCCTGAAAGGGAGATTTTGCATGAAAGAACGCATTAGAAATTATACTTTCTAGCAATATGGATTCAGGAGAATGAAGCAAAGAAAAGAAACCACATAGTCAACAATGTACTACTTATTTTGGAACTTAAATATTTGTTCCCCTGGTTCTAAATTAATATCATCTTATTTGTCAGGTCGTAAACAAGGTGTCAAACTGCCTAATAACAAACTCTCATCTGACCTTCTTGAAGCCTGGGCGTTCCTCAAGGTGCAGGTTTAAGACCCTTATTGTTTTCAATTTTTATTAACGACCTCCCTCCTTTAAATTACTCCAAATTTCACTTATATGTTGACAATACCCAAATCTATACTTAATGTCGTCCTCATTTAATCCCTGATTCCATGCAAATCATTAACAAAGAGCTTAGTTAATTGGGCTACAAACAATGAACTCAAACTAACTCACTCAAATCCTAATTGATAATTATTTACATTTCCTTGCATTACTCTTGGTAGCTCTTTAATACCCTTCTCTAACCAGGTAAAAAACCTTGGTGTGGCTTTTAATACCAGATTATCTAGAGATGATTAATTAGACTTTGTTGCTAAAAGGGTAAATGGGACTTTAAATTCACTTTAGAAATATAAATTTATCTCTCGACAATACAACTTAGACTAGTTAAAACTCTTATTTTACCGTTTTTTACTTATTGCAGTACTATCTACTCTTTTTAGTTAAAAAGTTAATCACTCTTGACTACACTATGGGAAAATTCTTTTAATAAGTGCACAAGATTTGTGTTAAATTTACAAAGAAGAGGGCATATCTCAAAACATGACAAGTTCATTCTGGCTAGTAATTTATTTGACTACCTTAAACTCCAATCTTTTATTTACTTATTTAAAATTAAAAATAAACTCTGCCCATATTCGATTTTAATTCTTCCCATAGTTTAAATATTATAAAAAGCTTGCATCATAGAACCAAATCTATGAAGATTCACTTGGGCTTTCAGGCATAAAGCTTTCAACTTTTTTGCAAACGATACTTGATTTGATCAAACTAACTCAACATAGTCTTGATGCTATTCTCTTTTTCTTTTCTCTTTTATACATTTCATTTATATCTACTTCTCTCCATTCATATTCCACTATGTTAATATCATACAAATATTGTTTATTAATAATTATTTTTTGTATTACATTTTGTAACCATTTTGTTATTTAATTAGTTTTTATTTTTCTACTCATCGTAAGCCAAGCTCTATTGTGAAAATGTTTTTTGATATTATATCTATTCATTCAATACTATTGAAAAATTTGAGACAGGAATGCTTCTAATAAAAACCAGAATTACTTTAATGAGAAAAATTTTTAAGGCTAAAATCTCCAAATAAAATTTATTATTTGATTTAATATGAATAATTAAAAAGCTGGCAAACTTGCTAAATATGGTCTGTACATATACAAACAAACCCCAAACCTATTTTATTCATTTATGGATCAGAAGCCCATTTCTTGAATAAGCTTCTACAAAAGTGAAAGAGAAAAATTACAATGCTTATAAAAAAGGAATTTCGTTGAACAATGATGTCAATAATTTTCCTTTTCTGTGGTGGATACCAGGAAGTGGAGGAGTTCCCCCTGAGCACTGCAGCTCTATAGAGCTTATTGTATTCCTTCCTGGCTCCATTTGGGGAGCTCGCAACATGTGTTTGAATTGAGCCCCTGGTGTGACTGTGTTCTTCCAATGAAAAATTCCATTTGAATGGATTCAGGACCAAATTCATGGTCGCTAAGATTCGATCCTGCCCCAGACCTTCCATTGATGAACCGGTCCTCTTAGGCGACTGCACAAAAGTCCAGAGGAGATGGTGGGAATCAAACCCATGACTATATGATCTCCTACTGGAGAGTCTAGCTCCTTAACCACTTGGCTACCATGTTCGCCCGGTTAATAAATTATATGAAGCTTTATTTTTTTATTTTTTTTTTACGAGGGTTTGCAACAGCAGAGGTTATATCAACCCTCGGGGTGCCGGTGTTTTTGAAAAAAAGCCCATTTGCAAGTATGTCGGGTTCGAATCCAGTGGCCCTGCATTCAAACCCGGGATCTTTACCTTACAGTGATGAGCGCCGTGTCAACGCCTAAACCATTGCGGCCACCGACACCCCTCATGAAACTTTATTGTATGCAAGACTCAACGAATGAGCAAATGATGGTATTTTACAGCATACTTCACAATGTGTCCATGCTCACCAATATAGTAAATTTACATCTGTTAAAAAAACGCCAAAAATGCTTTTGTTGTAGGTTTCTGCTCAGTTATAGTTAGGTTATCTGGGTGTCCTATAAAAATGGTCATAGCAATCAATGCTCTTCTGATGGTACTAAAAGTGCAATATTGTATAAAGAGGGACTGACAACAAGACCCCTGCTTTTCCCTATTTATAAACAATTTAGATGAGGCGATACAAAGTGGTGGGCTAAAAAATCAATATTTTTATGTTTTGCTGATGATTTAGTAATTTTAGCATCCAGCCCCCTGGTACTTCGATTCAAGATAAACTCCTCTGAATCATATGTCATATGTCACGCTATTTGGATTCTGCTTAACTTTAAAAAAATCAAAAGCTATGGTTTTTAGAAATGGAGGACAGCTCACCAAAAATGAAAAATGGTTTTATGAGAAGCACCATAATTTAATCAACAATTTAAGAAAATTAAATGTTAATTCATCATTAACACAGCACCATAATTTAGTATATTAAAACTACCTTGAATGAGACTTTTTCTTAGTAATAAAATTATTGGATAAAATAAACAATATATAAAATTAAAGTGTTTAATATAGGAAAGCACTAGTAAATAATACAACATGTAACAAGATACATAATTAAATATATAAAATAAATTAGTAACAACAGATCAAAGTTGGTTAAAGATCTTTTGATGCAGATGCTATAATTTTTCTTAATTTAACATGCCTGGCTTTCTTAGGTTATGAGACTCACATGTCTTCCACAAGTCTTCCAAACATCTTAATGTCAGCTGTCGTAATAAACAAAATAAAAAAATGTCATGAAAGATACAATGATGAAGATTATGCACAGGATGCCACCGTACAGACTGCAAGCGTTGGAAAGCTTCACAGAATCTGGTGTCTCCACTCTGGCAACGTAGTAGTAGTCCTGGTTGGCAGTTGGCCCGATCACAAAAGGCTGCTGAAGACCACCACTGATGATGTAGGGTGGCGGTGGTTGGTAACACGGCGGGCAAGGCGGACAGTCACTTGACCCAGGCAAATTCTGTTCCTGCAAAAAATCTCATTTGATAATTTTTTTTGTCAGGGATTTTTGTATTCTAAAAATATAAAAAGAAAGTAATTGTAAATTGAATACTTTTATCTTAAGTGAAATGTTATCCATTAGACATTCGTCAGTTATTAATTCAACACTTGAACGTTACAAAGTTCAAAAATCAGGTTAAGTAGATTACTCATTCTATTTGACATATGCTATATTTAAATAATTATGATGCTTACTGCATTTATGCTGGAACGCCGTTCGCCTGAACTATTTGGCTTGGGAATTTCATTTTCAACTCTCAGTGTAGTCTCCATCTGAAATAACTGCCATAATAATTTAGTATTTTATATCAAAAATATAAATTTGAAATATTTTTAATCAATAAAAAACTAAATTAAGTCTTTAGCAAAGCATTCTGTTAAATGATAACAAAAAATATTGAAAGGTGTGAAAAATTTGTTGTAATTTTTATCATAATGCCACAATATAAATCTAGGTTAATAACAAATGATAGAACAATTATTCAAATGTTGTTGTAAATGTTAAATTTACATGCTGTAATTTTCAAATATGCAAATTTAAAATTGATGAAGGGTGTTTGAAAAAATAAAAAACCTAAGGGATTCACGGTGATGTTTTTGTTTAATTATTTGTACATTTTGGGCTTTTGGGCCATCTAAAGCAGTCCAAATAGGTAATTCCTGTTAAGTAAACCCCCCCCTCAACCAATTACATTTCTTCCAATAACTTTAATTAAATGGAGGCAACTTTCACTCAAGCTGGAGTGGGTTTCAATTCTGTTTTTTCCTGGCTGAAAGATGCTTCTACTTACTATTATGATCCAATTATCAACCCTTTTGAAACAGAACACATAAAAAAGTCAATAAACATAGCAAACAACCAAAACAGAAAAATTGGCCAAAATATCTTCATTAAACAAAGACATAAAAAAGGACAACACAGAAGTTGTGAAACCCAATCCTAACGATAAAAAAAGCACAAATTCAATGTAAGCATCAAACAAAACACATAAAAAAGAGACAATACAACAAGCAAGCAAACAACCAAATTACATTGAACTTTTCTTTTTTATACACTTTCAGGAACTTTACTTTCATGTAAAACCATCAGGAGAAAATAGATTATTCCTTCATGATTAAAAAATTTGGTTGAAATGATTGAACACATTTAAAATAACAACTAATTTTTAAAAACTGGCTCAATTTAAATAAAAATTCAACAAGTAGTTTTACACAAGAAATAAATTGCTTCGACGGTGAAACCAAAAATTTGTTCTGTTTTACAAATATGATGAGGTTTTGATATTAATAAATAAACATAAATATAATTACATGATGATTGATCATTTTATTTTTTAAACAAAATTAAATTCAAATTCAAACAAATACATTACAAAAAGACACAATCTTGTAAATATATGTAAAAATGTATGTTGTTACTGGATCATTTGAAGTTTATAAAATAAAATTTGCATACTTACTTTTGAAAATTGTCGATTATTAGAAAATTCCCAGGACAACTGGAACTGCCGGACACCTTTGGGCCATCGAGTGGACTGAAGTCAACCCTCTAACGAAATGTTTTAATTCAATCAATGAATCACCTATATCGACATTTTGTCAGATAAGATTAGTTTTTGACACCTTATCTTTACAGAAATATGCTCTGCTATACCCTGAGAGGGCTAACTTAAATCAATTTGAGTACAAGCATGTTTCGCAAATTTATTAAATTTAAAAGCAACAGATAGAATCTTTTGGGTCATAAAATTTAAAAGTGATTCATACTCTGGCCAGGAATAAAATTGTGGTAACAAGCGAACAATTGACTGTAAAATTGTACCAACTACTAAGAATAGGCCATGCCAGGCTGACACATGGTCCCTTACTTTTATGCCAATGCCCGCATATTGTTAGCACCATGTAAAAATAATAAATGAAAAAATTGCATTTTTAATTTCATTGGTTTACCGTAGCACACTACAAGGCCTACTTTGGAGGCCAAATTTCGAATCCCAACGGACTCGGATCAACCATGTTGTTTTTATGAATTTCTACTTTTGTTAGATACATTCATGTTAAAAAAACAAACAATAATTTTGTGTTTGGGATCTGGTTTCTGGTCAGGTAGAGAAAGTAGACTCTGTGATCACTTGCCAAGTTTTCGGTCTTTATAAGACTATCATCAGGGCCTGAATAAATATTGCAACATTATATTATTTAATGTTAAACTTGGCAAGTGATCACAGAGTCTACTTCTTTCTCTACCTGACCAGAAACCAGATCCTAAACACATTAATCGTCATGGTTGATTCTTTTTCATAAACAAACAATAATTTTGGAATGTTATGTACATTAAGCCTACCTGAGGTTGTAGCAATATTACTCACTTCCATCTCAGCATAGTTGCCTATTAATATTGATATATGACAAAAAGCCTCTGTAACTAAAGTTTATTGCATACTATGGAAATTGGAAAACTAATGGAAAATTGCTCATTATGTACTATCTTTAATTAATAATTCTTTTTATGTAAGGTCTTGGTTAAGATAAAGATTTGGGATGGTAGAGCTCGGTTGCTCAAGTGGTAGAGCAGCAGCTTATTTAGCTGAAGGTCGTGGGCTCGAATCCAGCTCATGACACTTTTTTATCTCAACCAAGACCTTACGTAAAAAGAATAATTAATTGAAAGAAGTAACTTGGTCAATTGACCACTAATATGTAAATGGATTATATACTATGCTTTCCTTTCCTGAAACTCCATTGCAAACCTCCATATATATTACTTAACCTATAATTTTGTTAATGATTTCAAAATTATGAAAATGATATTAACATAGGTGTACTTTCTGCTCAAATGACACACACACGTACAGTGTTGTGCTTATCATTTTTCACAGTCCACCGGCAATTCTAGCTTTTGTAATTTTCAATAAATTACCGGCCTAATCACCCACCGGTGTTGGCAGTTTGGGGTCAGACCACGGTTTTATCTTTCCAGCCGCCGAGGTTGGTTCAAGGGGCTACCAACAGCAAGATTATTTTAGTCTCAATGCAATCAGTCCCTAAACCCATTCACTCTCTCACTCACACTTAAATATACCATTCACTCAGTCAGGATAGTGAAATTCTGCCATCAGCCTTATCACATTACACATCCACTCTTCAACACATGCAAGGGATATTACATTCAATAGAACTACTTTCCTCCAAGAATTGAAACAGGGGATCCAGATACCCAAGCATGATTGTCATATTGGTTGGCATCCTACACGCTCTATACATAGAGCCAAGGAATTGCACCCTTCAACTAAGTGGGACATATTGAGCAACCTTTCTCTACATATTGAAAATATACACTGACTTTGGCCCGTGTCTACGTGTTAATCTCATGGCCTAGCCACCATCTGGTGAGGATGACCCCTCTTCTGTGTCAATGTCAGCAGAGTGGGGGTGGTTAGGCTGGAGATTGGGACGTACCCTAAGCCTTTCATTAACCTCTAGATCGATCTGCCTGGGTACTCGGACAACAACCACTGTTTTGCTGAGATGGTTAGGGTCTCCAATAAGAGCACATCGCTGCATATGTAAATGTTCATTTAAGTATATATATTGTATATATATTTATATTTTACTGGTGCGGTTTTTGAATTAAAGAAAAAAAAAACATTTGTAAGTATGTCGGGTTTGAATGCAGGGTCCCTGGATTTGAACCCAGGACTTTTACCTTACAGTGAAGAGCGCCGTGTCGACGCCTAAACTGTTGCGGCCACTGATGCCCCTGTATATATTATTTTAAAGAATATTGTTAATATTATTAATTCTGTTTGTATGGTTATAAATTCTAAGATTAATTTCAAATCACACTTAAAGTATCTTTTAAATGAAGGAGAAAGCAATTTCTTTATCAGTAATTGAATGAGCTCAATGGTCTCTTGAGATTTCCATATTTTATAACTAAACACTTAACATCTTTCAAACTGTATTTCTCAAACATTCTGCTTATTTGTCAATAAATAATTAAACTAATAAAATATCGATAATTTAAAAATGGACAGATTCGAAGTGAATGAGCAATAATGGGAGGAGAAATAAAGTACCAAAGAAAAATTCAAGTTATATAAGTTCAAAAGTTCTTAAAATTTTGTCCATTGAGCTTGAGTTTGATTCATTGATTCACTAAAGTGATTAAAGTGTTTAAACTGTCCTTTAATGGCACTTTCATCAAAACAATAAAACATCTTCAATATTATATACCTTTATCATTGTTAGCATTGCCTTGTTTGGGAAACTGATAACGAGAAATAAATGGAAAAGGAAGAATAGAGGTAAAATTGAAAAGTCATTTCAGATAGGCGTTTATTAATAATGCCAACTTCCATAAAATATTATGTGGCCGATACAAAAACAAGCAAAATCCATAGTTAACAACACGAAGCGTTTTTTTATTTATTTTCACAGTACTTCTTTCAGTATTAAAAGGCTTACCAAAAATTGAATATAAAAGAAAGAGAAGGTAAGGCTTTCTTAGACTTTTTAAAGAAAATACTATACAACTCTAAGCTATTACTCGTTATTGCATTTTCATCAACTATGTTTCTTCGATGAAATGAAACACAAAGAACAAAATACAACAAAACATAATATTGCACTCCATTACATAAATAATAAAAAATACTGACTAGTTTACAATAAATGTTAACATTTAATATAAAATATGAGAATTAAACAATTCAAATTGGTAACATATTCTTTCCACAAAATACTCTTTTGATTTGTGTTGTTATTTAAACATTAAAACAGTACGCAAAAATCACACCACATGCTGTTGAAACAATTCGAAGGCAGGGGAAAATATTCACAGAACATACTTTGTTATGGAATATTAATTGAAAACCCTGTTCTGCATTTTTCCTTTTTTTATATAAATATAAAGAACGGTTAATATTTTGGACGTATTATTGTAATTCATAATATAGGCGGTACTATGCTCGTGTTTGTTAGATCACAATTGTATTATAAATGTGATCATTAAAATAAATGCTTTGTGCATTTTTCTGTTTGCCTGACTTGATTTATTTGCCGTCGTTTCTCAGCATGTGGTCGTAAGAGATCAATAAAATTAACTGAGACATACACAAATTGAACATGTATTTTATGAAATAATTTTCTCACATCTAGGTGAATATTACAATAGTTGAATAATGACCAACTAAATATTATATGAAAACTAAATTTTAGCAAAACATTAAAATTGAGTCTTGGTGCGTCCAATTTTATTTCCAGCCCATATTGACAATGTTATTTTATTTGTTTCATTAAATAGATATTGATACATATACTAGCTTTTTGACTCTTAGCTTTTTATTTATTAACCGGCATTGCACTAATTGAATACGCTTCCACATTTTTTCCTCAAATTTCATTTTTATTTTTTTTTTACATTACTTATATTATTTACAATGAAATCACAATAAATATAAATTATGAAAACTTCTGGTTATTTATGTGTACAGCAAAATTTTCAAATGAGTGTACCCTATGTTGATCACACTTCTTATCCCAGGATATAAGTATGTATATCACACAAATTCTTCATCTCCCTCGCCGTTTCACCTCTCAGTCAGACCCGTCCGATATGCTTAATGGTTTTGGTGTATATATCATTAACAAAGATATTTTGAAAGTACTGTTTATAGCAAATGATTACAAGGCTTATTTTTTGATTAAAATCTATTTATTTACATTTGTTTTTATATATATCACGTCATGCAAATTGAATGTACAACTCTGATGGCACTTAATCGTTACCTTCACACATTTCTATTTATTATCATTTAGAATGTATCAAAATGACGTTTAAGCAAAAAAATTAACTCTTCTTTTTATTATTGGACGATTTACTCTAGTTAAATAGCATTTCATGTAATAGGTTTTTGATCACTGCTTAAAATAAACAGTTATCAAAATTTAAAAAAAGTGACAATTTTTTTAAAATCCTTTGTACAGATTATTGTGGCACCTATGCATTTTATAAACCTGAGATGCTATTTTTCTTTACAATTATTCATAACAGCATTTTTAACAGATAAGTTCACAACTAAATGGACTGAGTGAAAAATCTGTCACTTACTAAAACCGCTATTAATATAAATAAGTTAACTATGTTCGCATTAATTTACACCTACTTTTTACAAATTTATTTATTGTTCCGATAACTGGAATTTACACGATGAGCCCAGCACGTCACGGGTGGCATGGTGTTTGTCAATTAGAACTTCTATCTCACAAAATATGGCACTGAGGAATTTATAACTAAATCTTAAAAGAAATCAATGAAGCTTTTTTTTCCATACTTGCGGCGCACCTGATTAAACCTTCCCATTAATAATTTGAAACTTGACTCGGTTGCAGTAGCTCCGGCCATGGGAATTGTTGGTGATATCTAAGTACGCCTCCTGTTCAACAAAAATTGGATTCAGATAAGTTTGACTGCACATTTTACTTTAAGCCAATAAGGTTGCCATAATGCAGATTTTGATTTTGCAGAATTTGTAACAGCCTTTACAAAATGTTATGAGACTTGGAATTTATGTGAAAGAGGACGGTAAAGGCCAAAAACCGTTTAACAATTAAAAACTAATAAAAAAGCAGTTTATAATGATTCAGAGTCTAAAATGTTTAGTCAGCCTTCTACTTGACAAATATATTTAATTGAAGGAATATTTTTATTTTTCTCACCATTTCTCAAGGTAATTGAGGAGTGACACTTGAGCGTTCACTTGTTGACCTGATAGGAATTGGAGGTACAACTTCAGTGGTATTCTTTTCCTCAGCTCCATTGTTGTTGTTGTTATTGTTAGTAACGACTGAGCTGCTCCGCCGTCGCCCATTTCCATTTTCCCTAGTTACACTTTTCATATCAAAAAGGCAGGTCTCGGACTCTAAATCAGATTCGCCCTGAGAAAAAAGTACGGACATTTTATAACAACTGATATTCGATATTTGATTTTATAAAGGAAAATGGTTTACTCTTGTTCCAGGATAAGGGGACAGCCGCTCCGAAGTGTCACTCCCACAGCTGCTACTTTCAGAAAGCTCTGTAGTGAATTTCCTGCTGGCTCGAGGTGATGAGGGAGGTCTCCTTGAGCAGATCTGAGACTGGATATGTTCACAGACTCTCCTAAACCTACGGATATTACCTGAAGAAAAAAGAGAAATATGCATTCCTGTGAAATATTATTTTCAAAGCAAACAAGCTAAAAGAAAAAATCAATGATAACCTGTTAGCAATGTAAAAGTGACAGCGAAAAGATACTCTTTGGGAGATGTCGGCTTGGAGACCGAAGAAATGTCTACTTGGAACCTAACTTGTCTCTGAAACATTGCCGCACCTGTTGCTCCTCGTCTGTATTCTACCCTAAAGGACATCGGACTTGAAACAGAATGGCTCAGTTCCGCTATCTAGTTTCAAATAGATTTATTGTGTTAATTGCAATATATGATTGTTTCTATGCTTGCATCTACTCACAGAAAGAAATGCGTGTATTAGATCTGCCTTGACTGAAGCTAACGGTTTCCCTTTCACAAGAACTGTAAGTGTCTCATCTTTTTCGGATGTCATCAAGCTCCCAAACCAAGACTTTTTTGTCAGTTCTGGCGACGACTCAGGAGTCAATCCCACTTCTTCAGTTGATGCTATATTTAACATAACTTCAATAACACATAATTGCTGTTATTAAAATTCAGTCGTTACCTTGAAGTTTTCTCCTGTGGAATCTCGGTGAGCCGAGGAAACTGTTTTTAATGGTTGTCAGTCTTGTCCTCCAGTGGTTAGAGGTGTGAGGAGAGCCAGGTGGTACCAGCACATGGGTTCCTATGAACAAAATGAACTGCTTTTAACATTTACATCCATACAGTTGTAAAAACATTCAAATCATCCCTCAAATTGTTTTGGTGCTATATTATTATAAGTTAGTTATTATAATTAAGCAGCAACTTAATTTATTTACTTATCAGAAACTGTTGGCAATCAATTAACTGTTACTAACAATAATTTTTTTGGTTAAAACTGTTAACCTAACCATTCCCAAAGTTAAAACTGCAGTGCAATTACATAAGAAAATAAAATGATTTGCATAAATTATATTAAAATGTTAGTTTAATTATTTCTGATCATCCTAGTCTGCCAGATTTGTTTTGGCAGTGAAATTTTCTTTGCCTATGTTGACACAGACCAACTAAACATGGTGAAGTGCTGGCAGATAAAACCAGCGATAAAAAGCAGACCAAGATGATCAGAGATGGTTTATATACTTTAATTTTTTTAATCATTAAATTGGAAATGAACAATGAACTGTTAAAATTATATGAAAAGCCGAATGTTGTACACAGTTAGTAAATCCTGTTAGTCATTTTTAATTTACTATTTACTTACTATGAATGAACATTTAGATTACAACTACTGCATGACCAAGACAGGCTCTATAAGAGATTAAGCTGTAATTCAGTTTAAGTTGTATATTTTAAATGTTATCAGTAGTATGAATTGAGCTACCTGCTATAGTAATGGTGGGCGGTTCTGTTGTTTCATTGGGCGCACTTGATCGGTGGTGCAACGGGGATGGGGGCGGGATGACGGGGCTACTGTTCATGACCTGGATGGCGGCTGGAGCTGCGACACTCACAGGCCTGGCTGAGTGTATCGGCGAGCTCTGGTGGTTTGCATGGTGTGTGCTACTCGAACTCGCCCTGAAATCAAATCTTTTGCTAAAGTCAATGACTTCTTGTCAGTTCCTTGATTCTCTCACCTTTGTGGAATCTGTATGCTGGTGGGTGACGGTGGCTGGAGTGATGAGTTAGAATTGCTGGAAGTGTTACTACCCCTTCTGTTTTGATGTCTATTTCTTAAATTAAACACACAAAAAAAAATAATTAGGTTCAAAATTTGTTCAAAGTAATAGTGAAGGTGATTTAACTTACTGAAGTGGTTGTCTTCTTGGTGTGATAGGTGATCCTTCTGATATCTGAGCATATTGAAGAGATTTTGCCCCATTGATACAAGTATCGATTCTCTTTCTCGGTGGGTCACTCGATTCCGCTCTCACCCTCGCCACTACCTGTTCTGCTTCATCTTCTAGTGCAGGTCTTCTTCTTTTCCTTTCTAGTAATAAAAAATAAATCACCTTCTCTGTGTTGTGGCTGAAACACAAATAAAACATTATAACGACCAAATCAAATATTCTTTAATATATATATTTTTTCTTTGTATTACTTTGGATTTAACAACTCCTGTATAAGTTTATCTCTTTCTTTGAAACACCCTAAACTCGTAATGGCTTGTAGGACATCGGTATCCATATCCGCTACTGAAGGTATAATGTGTGTCTGGACGACTTCCATCATTGGCAGCTCGAGTTCCAGTTCTCCCTTGCCACCCGCTGTCACCCAGGGATGCCTGTTGATATCTGCAAGCTTTGTACAGAAATTAGAAACGGAAATCAATTTTGCTAAGCATGATCGACTTACTGTGAGCCTTTTTTCCGGGTTGACTTCAATCATTCCGCGTAACAGGTTCTGACAATCAGGAGGTACAAAATGAGGTATGTGGAACACACCTCTTTTGACTTTTTCTAAAAGTTGACGGAGATTGTCGTCATCAAAGGGAAGCGCACCGACAAGCAGTGCATACAGGATCACCCCACATGACCAAACGTCTGCTCTTCTTCCATCATATTTCTCTCCCTATTAAAATTGAAATCGCAAGTTTTTTTAAATTCAAAATGTTTCTTTTGTCAAGTAAAATTAATGAAAACACATATTGTTTATTTGGGACATGTCTAAGAAATAAAAAGAATATTTCAGTAATAACTGGGCAAATAACTGAAAATTAAAATTAATTATCATTCAAGATAATTTTGCCCATTTAGAAATATGATTTATTAAGCAAACACGCCCTAGATACTTTAAAAAAAAAAACAAATATGGTGTTTGACCAATTTACTTGGATATTATTATAAAATAAATAAGGAAAATGTATAGATCTTAATCTTACAGTCCTTGGTAATGTTAGGACTGAGTCAATCTTAAAAGAAATTTCAGATCGCCTGTAAAAAACTTAAATATGTCAATCTGTGAATATATTTATGATTGCTTTACCCTGATGATGACCTAAAAATAAGTCGAAGCTTGGTAGTATCATCTGAATTTTCTTTTTTCTTGAAGACTATACCTTGATCTAGAGCAGTGGTTCCCAAACTTTTTTGACCCATGGACCCCTTTTTACAGTCAAAAATTGCCCACGGACCCCCAAATTAAAAAGCCACAAAAATGCATAATATAAAAATTACATGCCTAGAGATTAGTGACTGTTAATCGATAATTATTCAGATATCGTGAGATGCGGTCTGGTGTGGTGTAGGTTTCAAAAAAACATTTTAAGAACATAAAAATTACAAATTAAAAAAAAGTTTTGTTGAAGAAGTATTTTTGAAATTATAAATTATAAATATATATAAATTAACAATGTTTTCTTATATTTCGACCTTCATTTTTCCTTCTTGAAGGTGGGATAATAGGTCATCTCAAAAAAACCACAACCAGTTTTTATCCACAATGTTTCGGATTTCTTTTAATCCTTCCTCAGGTGAGTTGGTATGGTATGGTGGAAAGGATGCTAGGAAGCGGGGTTTGTATTCCCCAGGCACTGCAGCCTTCTGGCTTATTGTACCTTTCTAGTTCCTTAGTTCAGTCAATAGACTCAATCCTTCTTCTTAGAAGTACAGGTCATTGACTGTTGCTGCTACAATTTCATTCCCTAAGTCTTTTCCGTACATTAGGTTAAACCTCCATTGAGCTGTTGCTTCGCATTCGAAGATGATATGAGTGGCTGTTTCCTCCTCCTCATTACATAATCTGCAAATGGGTCATTGCTGTACATACCCATGTTGTGTAGATGTTTTCTCAGATACCAGTGACCGGTTAGTAGTCCTATCACTCCTCTGAGTTTGGCCCTCTCCAATTGTAGCAGTGTTTTTGCCAGTGTCAGTGAGGGTTGTTTCATCATACGTTTACTATGTCTAGCACGGCTAGAGTTTATCCATTTTACCTTTTGTTTTGCTTGGATCCATTCTGCGATGGAGGATTCTATATTTGTTTTTGTTATTCCAAGGATAGGTTCGGGGCCTATGTATGGTCTTGCAGATCCTCCTCTGGCCAGTCTGTCTGCTTTCTCATTACCCAAAATTCCCCTGTGCCCTGGCACCCAAGATATCATCAGGTTGTTGTGTTTCCCCAGGTTTTGGAGATTTTGTATGCATTCACTGACTAGTTTTGATGTGATTCTTTTACATGCTAATGCTTTAATAGCTGCTTGGCTGTCGATCTTAAGAGGATTTTTTTGTCAGTGCAACCTCTTTTAAGATTTTCTAGGGCACAAGCATTGATGGCATGTATTTCTGCTTTTAAGACCGAGGTGTACTTCCCTAATGAGTTTGATTGCTCATGTTTTGGGCTTGAACAGAAAATTCCTGATCTGGTTCCTTCGTTTGTTTTGGGGCCATCTGTGTACGATATCATTGTATCTGATGCTCTCCTGTGTTCTTCCTCTCCTTTACAGTCCGTTGAGACTTTATAGGAAGTTGTGAAGATTGTTTCCGGGATCATTTAATCAGTCTCCATTTCTAATAATGGGTGTCTGATTTTGTTGATTATGGTTGTATGCCCGAATTGTTTGGTTCCTTTCAAATTTAATTGTTTCTGGAGCCTAAATGAGCTTTTCCTAGCATCTCCTTGTATAAATATTTCCAGTGGTAGGTTTAGCAAAGTTTCTAATGCGCTTGTAGGGGTTGTTCTCATTGCCCCTGTGATACATAGGTTTGCTAGTCTTTGTATGCTGCCTAATGTTCAGGTAGCTACTTTTTGTTGAGCTTTGTTCTACCAAATTAGTAATCCATAGGTTATTCTGGGTCTTATTACTGTCGTGTATAGCCTCAGGTGAGTTAACGCCTGTATATATAAATTATAATATTAATTACTTTTGTTTAAAATTAAAATACAAAAAAATTAATGACTTGGATGAACGTGATGAGATGTTATGAGAGTATAATTTCTAATCGGTTTCTTTCTTTTATGATGAGGTTCATAACGACACTAAATCCACGTTCTACCAAATAGAAAGACGAGAAAGCAGTCAACAACTTCTTTATAATAACCCATAATGCAGGATATAAAATTTTTTGTAACTAGAATTTGTGGTATCCTTGTTCAAACATTGGTTTAAGTTTCTCATTTGTGGATATTACAATAAGCTGCTCCTGAATTAGTATGGATTCCTCTGTGTTTGGGATATGAGTTTGTCCACATGCAAAAGGGTTCAAAACCCAGTCGGGAATATCCAAGTGAAGAATGTCTTCTAATCTTTGGTTCAGGTCAGTATGAAGAGCTGTTAAGTGTTGAGTAGAGAAAGCAAATCATCTCTAATTTGCAATTTCGAAAGATTTGGAAACTGAGAGCATTCTCCTCTTCCCAAGTTTGTTTGTAAAGAAAAAGTTTTGCAACAAACGCAGATATTACGCTTTTAGTTTTGATTAAATTTAATTGGTCACCTTGTAGTTTCGTTAAATTTGGCAAATAAATCAGACATATAGGCTATGTCATTTTTTGAGTTAATTAAATTGTGTCGCACATCATTGTCTTTGGTTTCCAGGAATTCCAACACTGAATCAAAAAGTGCATAAAATCGATTTAAACATGCACTTTTAGATAACCAACATACTTCTATTTTATATTATATTATTTTATATTAAACCTTGCGCGAACCCCTGACGTTGTACAGAGACCCCCAAATCAATTTTAATTTTCCACAGACCCTTGGGAACCACTGATCTAGAGTGTTTGAAAAAGTGGCCGATATTTCCCACATTGAAAATTAGTTTTGATTGAAATTCTCCCAGAAAATTCAATTATTTGAATCTTGTACTATTAATAATGAAATGCCATGAGTCTGATACAGTGAACCCCCATTAGGATAACTTTATGTTTCATAATTTTTGTACCAAAATCATAAAAGAAGTTAAAATTATCAAAGAAAATTTGCATTTTTTGGACAACAAATGACATTATTTTTAATTTCACAATGTTTTAACTTAATATAGGTCATACCCTTATAACTTCCGGACAGGCATAGTGCGGTGAGCCGCAACTGGTCTCGAGCATACTCCCTCCAGGCTGCAGCGAAGCCATCCCAAAGTCGGCTATCTTGATATTGTTTTTCTCATCTAGGAGCAGGTTTTCTGGCTTGAGATCGCGATGGCTGGAGAGGAAAAAGACAATTTAATTATTCTCGGACAAAAATAATTAATTTTGTTTGAAGGGCAGTTTTTTTTAAACTGCCAAAACTAACTTTTGTTAGTAATGCTTATGTTTAACAATATTAATCATTTACTAACAATGTTTAGTCTGAAAAATAAATTCAGTGCAATTCTTTAGTAAATTATGTAAATTTGTTCATTAAGAAAATGTGATGGTGGTTTAAAAAAAAATACTTAAAGAAAAAATACATAAGTGGTACAGCTATTGGATGATAAACTATGTCTGAATAATTACTAAAAGCGAAAATGGGCGGACCAAAAATGTATTCGTAACGTTCAAATTATTAAAAAGACTAATTAGAAAAATTAAACCGGTCCTCGGCCCCAATAAAATTTTACAAAGCTTTCAATTCCTTGCTTTATGTACAGACTTACGATAAATCCCACCTGATTAAAAATTTATTAACAAGGGCTTTGTAAAACGGCTGTCGGATCGATTCGCGCATTAATGAACACGACGTGGGATCGACGAAGCACGCATGAGAAATGAGCTTGAGTGGGTTCGGGATTTGATGACCAAATTTGGGGTATTGCTGCGGTTTTCGGACGTGCTTCGCCTATAAATTACCTCCTGAGGGCCTGATACAACCAGGAAATCGTTGTTATTACTGTCTACCGTTTATTTTACAACAATCGTCTGCGGTAAAAGATCGAACAGATTATATCTTAATTGCTTCAAGGCGAAGGGTTATTTTTGAGGCAATTGAAAGCCCCATAGAATCCGGTCAACGATATGAAAATTCGTCCTCTTTTCACTTTTGATCTGGCCGGAAGCGTTTATGCTTCATGATTTTTGTACATTATAAGTCCTCCTAAAGTGTCAGCCTGTTGTGGCACAGTACAAGGCATAGTTCAATCGATCAAAAAATAACAAAAAAAAAAAAAAATGGTTCATAAATAAATAAACGGCTCACCATATTGAATGGCTATGGCAAAAATCCAAGGCGGAAATTATTTGTCTAAAAAATCTTCTGGCTTCTTTTGGCGTCAGTCTCCCTTTTTTAACTAAATAGTCGAACAATTCGCCACCTGACACGTGTTCCAAAACTAAATATCTGAAACAAAATTAAATTCAGTTAATAAGAGGGGTATTATTTTTTTTACTTCATTTATTTATATGTACTGTATATGTAGTATATACAACCAGCAGATTAGATTTCTTTTAGTAAGTGTATCATTACTAGAGGAAGCGACACAGTGGCAGCAGCTTTGGATCAATCCTTCAAGAGGTCTCTGAACCATATTCCCTTCAGTCGTCTACGGGGTAATTGTGGGGAATGGAGTAGTTAGTGTTATAATTTACTGTGAAAACGTCTGATATATGTTTTGATGGATGAAAAAATCTTTCTTTTACAGGGTTCGCAACAGCAGAGGTCATATAAACACTCAGGGTGGCGGTTTTTTTGGAAAACTATGTCGGGTTCAAATGCGGGGCCGCGGGATTCGAACCCGGGACTTTTCCTTACAGTGATGAGCGCTGTGTCAATGGGTCGCGGCCACCGACGCCCCCAGTGTGCTATTGTTTACATGGGGCAGAAACATTTAGTCATAAAATCTTGATGAAAATTTTGTAATCTTGAATATTGATTCAATTGAAATTTGGCCAATCCGTAAATTTGGCACTCCTATAACCAAATAGGTTGAATGGATATGTGTATGTCGAAAGTTTTGATTTTAATGATAATTTTGATAGTCGGTTCATTTAAAATCGTTTGTTAAGTGTGTTGTTTTAATCTGTGCGGATTCTAAGTTAATCTTCTGTCAAGAAAAAGCCCTAAATAGGTAACTTTGTCGGATTCAGGAAAGGTTAGTTGTAGAAGTATACGGGATAAATCTCACACCGGGCGTAAAGGCGTTTTGTGCCATTGAGGGGTTAAACTTTACTTTCCAAAGTACTTTACTTTTTTCAATTGTTGTCATGTGGTTTTATAACATAAGACATGTAGTAGAGTGGTGATTTGTTATCTGCGAAAGTGGCGGTAAGTGCATTCTGATTTGTGGGCATGTCAGAAGTAGAAATTGTGTACAACAGCGCAGCGAGTATTGACCCTTGCGGCACACCTGGAAGTACTTCTTTCATTGGTTGCGAAAAATCTCTCCTTGAGATATGATTTTACGATCAGATAAAAGGCTTTTAATTTGTATAATTAGTCCCTCCCCAAGTAAATAAGCCTGTGAAACATTTAAAAACTCTCCAGTCGCGTACATTTTCTGCTCGAGACATGAAGCAATGGGCTCAAAACAACTGCCCATCCCTCATCATGCATCACCTACTTAATCCAAAGCTTTAAAACAAAATATTTTCAAAATTAATTTTAATTGGTTATTATTTGTTGGTAAAATCTTTCAAACTGAGTAACAAACAGAAAAGGATGACTAATTGAAGCCGGAATATAAAATATGTCGGTGCTTTATCGAAAACGATGTGGCTACTCAAAAGTCATTTATGTTTAAAACGGATGGAACTTTGATTTCCCACTCGGGGAAAATTGTTTTTACGAATTTAACGCTATCCAGAGAGGTTCATATTTTATTTAATCGGAGCCGGGCCCGTTTCTCGAATCATTCTCCTTGGCAGATTTTATTTCTAAGGCTGTCGCCTTTCCGTGATTCTTGTTAAAATTTACTTATACCCAATCAACCCGAACCCGCTGGAAATGCAAATTAAATTCACTCCACTCTTAAAATATTAAATTGAATAAGGCTAAAATCTGACGATACTCACAAATACTTTTTATTTTCATAAACGTCCGAAAGACCGAGTACATGTGGGTGGTCTATTAGTTTCATAATTGCTATCTCCCTCTCAACCTGAAAAAAAAACAAAAACAAAAAACGTTAAATGTTATAATAAAAAGTCATTTTTTTTATTACACACTATTTTTATTTGTGGTGTTTAGTCACTGTTAGCCAAAGATTATTTGGAGATAATATTGGAAAGTAATTTATAAAATCAATTGTTTAAATTGTCTGGCAATTGTATAAATTCATTTTGTTTAATCTAAAATTTTCTAGCATTGTATAAATTCATTTTTTTCACATTCTACATCTATTTGTAAAATTTAAACAGTGATTATTCGGAGATCGTGAGATGCGGTCTGGTGTGGCGTAGGTTTTAGAAAAACATTTTCTTTATCGTGGCAACGCTTCGATCTTTATTGAGATCATCTTCAGGCTCAAAGTGTTTGTTTTCTGTGTAGATGTGTCATTCTTGTGCGTCGTGTTGACCCTGTGGCACCCTTTGAGCCCTGAAGATGATCTCAATAAAGATCGAAACGTTGGCATAATAAAGAAAATGTTTTTCTAAAACCTACGTCACACCAGACCGCATCTCACGATCTCCGAATAATCATCGACTACCGTCACTAATCACCACAAATTTAAACAATGATTATAAATCCCAGGCCGTGAAGATGAACTCAATAAAGGTCGAAACGTTGGCATGATAAAGAAAATGTTTTTCTAAAACCTACGTCGTCACACCAGACCGCACCTCACGATTTTTTTACGAGGGTTCGCAACAGCAGAGGCTATGTAAAGCCTCGGGGTGCCGGTGTTTTTGAAAAAATTTGTAAGTATGTCGGGTTCGAATGCAGGACCGCTGGATTCGAACTCCGGACCTTTACCTTACAAGTCTTTACCTTCGTATCAACGCCTAAACCGTAAAAAAGAAAATGGTTGTTTAACTCCCCCCTTCTAGGAATATCGAGTACTCTGGGGTGAGTTTGTGGTGTCCGGAGAGAAAATAAGTTATTAGCAAGAATGGAGTGGGTTTTTTTTGGGCATTGACCTATTGTCCTAAGCCACGTGAATAATTGTTTAATTGGTCATTTACAGCAGTCGCAAACTACAACCAGTTCAAAGTCAGGCCTGACATGATAGCTATGTTCTTGTTTTTGTACCCTTTATTCAGGTTGAGTTGAGTACATATCTCGATTGCGTGGACCTCAGTTTGGAAGATACTGGTGTATTTTCCCATGGGTTCTGAGTATTTGCTTCCAGGACCAAATACTCCTGCTCCTGTACCTTCTTGTGTTCTAAATACATCTGTGTACGAAAGGATGGTGCCATTCTTAAAGGAGGTGTGTTTACCTCTCGTTCCCATTCTTTTTTGGCACCTAGATTTATTTGGAAGTTTTGATTAAATTCAAACATGCTGTTCATGTCGTCTCTTAGAGCCATGAGTATCGGATGGTCTATCATTATTTTGTTGCTATCTCTCCATTTTAGTTTTATTCCTGTTGGAGGTTTCTCGTGGTGTAGGCTTAGAAAAACATTCTCATTGTCCTGAACACTATCACACGACATACAACAGTGACACATATCCACAGAAAACACACACTTTTTGCCCTGAAGATAATCTCAATAAAGAAAATGTTTTTCGAAACCAACATCACTTCAGACTGCATCTCACGATCTCTAAATAATCATAACTTAACGGTCACTAAATATTAATTAGTAATTATTAGCGTGAAAGGAAGGGTTTGTTTAACCCCCACCTTAAGGTGTAACGAGTATTTTGGGGAAGTGAATTCTCCTCTATGTTTGTATAGGCTGTTGCGTTTATGTTAATTTATTAGAATGATTGTAATTTATGTGTTTATGTTAGAATAAATTAATTTATTAGCGTGAAAGGAAGGGGTTGAGAATGTAATTTATTAGCGTGAACTGAAGGTGTTGTTACCCCACCCCAAGGAATATCGAGTACTCTGGTGGAGTGATTGTGACCAGACTTCTGTGTTTGTGGTGATGCATTTATGTTTATTTCTATTCTGTAATGGGCAATCTGAGGTACAAATGAGAGCCTATCATTTTAAAATTTCGATGTTTTCGAGTTTTCATATAAAATCAGAGAGTCAGTAACAGATGTGAGAAGCTCAAATGGCGGTTGGAATATACGCGTGAACGATCATAAAAATAAATAAAAACATGCAGAGAGCCCGCGATGACCACAGATATTTGTCGGCCCCTAAACGTCCGATATTATTATTATAATCTACAACAATTAATTACGGTTTTTAGTTGAGATAAAAAAGTCAATGGCACGAGCGGGATTCGAACCCACGATCTTCGGCTAGATACGCTGCTGCTCTACCACTTGAGCTATCGTGACCTCGATCCAAGCAGCGGCGTATCAAGCCGAAGATCGTGGGTTCGGATCCCGCTCGTGCCATTGACTTTTTTATCTCAACTAAAAACCTTAATTAATTGTTATATATTAATTTGTCAAGCGGACCACGAAATTAGTGATTTGAATGATATCTACTTTCTTTTGAGAGCCGACATAAGCAACCAAGGGGTGAATGATGGAGTACAAAAAATTGAAACGGGGTCGATCAAATCCTCCATACATCATACAAAAAGCATTCGTCAACTGTCAAATAGCCAGATAAATTGGATTTGTCACAGAGAAACGCCGCATACACAAGATAAGTGAAAAAAAGCATGTAGAGAAGTTTAACAGCATAACATCGCCTTGTAACACGCCAGTCGCCCCTTCCTTCAAAGTGATGAACGATTCATCAAAAGAACCGATACCTGCAGAAAAGTTTTAAACAGGCGATATCCGGCTTTTGGTGAATAGGAAGAAACTTCTGTTCAAAAAGACAACGCTCGGTTGCACAAAGCGAAAACTTTCCGCTGCTGATGGAATCGAGCTTTAACCCACCCTGACCTTGCTCCTTCAGACTACCAGTTCCGAGCAATGGCCCACTTCAGCAACTTTCATAGTTTCGTACATGGAAAGACGTAAAAAGTGGTGTAAAAGACTCTTTTAAATCAAACTCCAAGGAATCGTTCAGCCAGATTTACAACCCCTATGGAGATTAACGATCCAGTAGTAAAATTAATTTATTGGAAATGTAAATGAAATTTAACTGTAACTTTTGAATCGTTCAGTTTAAAGGGTAACAGAAAGTTTTGACTCTGTCAGACACCTTGAATGTTTAATACAGACGAGTATCTTTGCTGAATTGGTACAAAACCGCTCGTACAAATCGATTAGAAATCGTCTTTTCGGATATCTCGCTCTAATCGCCGTCAAGTCGGAGAAGTTTCCGACATTTTGCCAACGAGATTAACAGGATTAATCTTGTATTATCCTTTAGAAACGTGACATCCATAAAAGCCAAGTTGATGCGGGTAGAAAGAAAGGTAAAGCAATCAAGCGGCCGCCGACGAGGCGAACCCCAGGGAAAATTTGACAGCCGGATAAATCCAATCTTTCAGCAAAACCCGGCTGAAGATTTGGCCCTTTTACAAAAGATGCTGCAGAAGTGGACTTTTATGCCTAAAAAAAGCCTAAAAAGTGAAATTTCTAACAACAGGCCTAACTCAAATATTAACACAACGCCCATCAAACCTTCAAATATGATTTGCCTAACATTTCCTAGTCTTTTTAAAAAGATTGAACAACACACTCAGTCCACCATTCATCATTTCTATTTCGATGAGAGGTCGCTATGATTTTAGCACGATTAGTAATATGGTAAAGCCCAGCAAATATTCTTTCTTTAACATAAATAATATTAAGTTTTTGGTATTTTCCTATTTTAGGCGCTTTTATGCGAGAGTTTTTTTTCTTCAGAAAAATATTTTTCTATATTCCACAACATTTCGGCCATTGAACAGCCATTTTCATGTGAATATTTATTCTTTATAAGCAAAGCAGTTTTATGTCCTATTAATCGTTAATTAGAAGATAGATTAAAATTGTTATTAGCACAACTATCTGCTGATCAGTCAATGTTAAAAACCTTATTTTTCTCCATTACAGTTCATAGTCCGATTGACCAATTAACATTTTTTAATTAATTAATATTTATGAAAAGTATTGGTTAAGATAAAAAAGTCAGTGTCAAGAGCGGGATTCGAACCCATGACCTTCGCCTAAATATGCCGCTACTCTACCACTTGAGCTATCGTGAAGTGAGGTGAGATGGGAAGTTAGTGTCCGAGCGGATCAAAGCACGATAGCTCAAGTGGTAGAGTAGGGGCGTATTTAGCCGAAGGTCGTGGGTTCGAATCCCGCTCGTGACACTGACTTTTTATCTTAACCAACACCTTTCATAAATATTACTTATTTTTTTCGTTATTCTCATTCCTAAATCACACTAACCTCTGAACCACATATCCTCCTACAGACCCTTCAGCCTTTTCCTGCAATGTCGAAAATCATCAAAAGACTCCTTTTAAAGCGATTAATTCCCATCTTAGATACTTACAAAATTCATCCTTTCACCAATTCGGCTTCCGTCCACATCATTATACGATCCAACAAGATTTCAGAGTTATCAACAATATCTCTTCTGCTCTTGAAAACAAAGAGTATTGCTCGGGTGCGTTCCTAGACAAGCTTTTGGCACCCGGGCATGCTTTATAAACTTAAACGCTTCCTACATATTCCTTATTATTTTGTCCTGATATCTTATGTAACACACCACTACGTCAGAGTGAGATCGTCGAAAATTAGACAAATACAAGCCGGCATCCCACAAGGAAGCATTCTTGGTCCCATCATATCATCTATACTGCTGACCTACCTGCACACCCCAATGCCATCATCACCACCTTCGCCGACGATTTTGTTACATAATTCGTATCCTATCCAAGCTACCTCCAATATCTAGGAACTTGAGCTTATCGAAAACTGGTGAAAAAAGTGGAGGACAAGAATGAAGGAAGAAAAATGTACTCAGTGTTCGTTCACAATGAAAAAAACAGTCTGTCCCACCACTGTACATCAACAACAAAGAGGTACCGACTTCCATTCAATTCAAATATGGGCAACTACGAAGACTTCAAGGACCGAAATCCATCTTGATCGTCAACTCTAAACTAACCTTTTCCATCACTTTACTGCGACCACGTTGTACGGAGTGAAACTGCGGGATTCTACCAAGCCATCCAACACCAAGCGCAGCCAATCCTTCCAATCAAAAGTTCTCAGACAAATCGTCAAAGCTCCTTACTAGTAAGATGAATAAGTAAGTTTCCACCGTGCATCTGTTACGGCCGTCCCCATTTTATTCCGGTGTTGTGTGGAGGTTCGTAGTGACAAGTCGTAGTAGAAAAACCTCTCATCGCCCCATTTCATCGTACGCCAAGGGATTTTAGGGAAATTATAATGTTCATTTCGGACTGGTTCACAGGAGTTCTGGGCTACTTGGGCTTATGGAAAAAATCGGGGAAACTATTGTTCCTCGGTCTTGACAATGCCGGTAAAACTACACTTCTACATAGACTGAAGGATGACAGGCTTGCCCAGCACGTGCCAACACTTCACCCAACATCAGAAGAATTGTCCATTGGAAATATTAGATTCACTACTTTTGACCTTGGTAGCCATACTCAAGCAAGGAGAGTCTGGAAAGATTATTTTCCAGCTGTCGATGCCATTGTGTTTTTGGTGGACGCTTGCGACAGAGTCAGTCTCCCAGAGAGCAAAGCCGAGCTTAATGCCCTGCTAACTGATGAATCGCTTATGAATTGTCCTGTACTCGTTCTTGGAAATAAAATCGACCTCCTTGGGGCAGAATCGGAAGACGAGCTGAGAAACTTTCTCAACCTTTTCGGACAGACAACTGGCAAGAGCAAAGTTCCACGAAGTGAATTGCCCGGTCGTCCTTTAGAATTATTTATGTGCTCTGTGCTCAAGAGGCAAGGTTATGGCGAAGGTTTCCGTTGGCTAGCACAGTATATCGACTGATCAATTCCAACCTATCCATCGTTTACAATTGCAGTTTTTGCAAAAGGCAACATCCGCTCGGCATCTAATAAAAAGGGCCCTCCAACATTAAATCATTGTCGTATTCATCTTACTGGTCTGCTGCCCTAACAACATCAGCCACTATCCTCTATCAAAAGTGATGATCAATATTCAATTAAAGTCTTCCGAGACTGCCTGTAATACTCACACACACCAAATAATACGGACTTGATTGAATTTTGTGTTTTTAAATGAAATTACAGGATTTAAAACAAACATAGTTCAAAATATGTGTCTTTTTGTGTATTTTCCTTATTAGTCACTAACCTCACTATCCACAACGCCCTCGAAATTCATCTAACTCGAAACTTATCCAAGATACCTCCAATATCAAAGAACACCTGGAGCTTGTCAAAGACTGACGCAAAAAGTAGATGGTTAGGGTTATTATTAGCCGTTAAAAACGTGTAGAGAGGTGTATTTAAAAAAATCATTGACTTTTAAATGGTTATTACATTATTATTTTTATTTAGGCGTAGTATATTGCCCTGAGGAAGGGCAAATATAGAGCCGAAAGCTTGGCAACTGTATAATACAGTGTATGATTCATTGAAGGACCACATACCCAATAACATCCCAAACCAGATTATAATCAAAGTTGGTCGATAACTGAACAACCTCGTCAAAAGAGTGGAAGACAAGACTGAATGAAGAAAAATGTACTCAGTGTACGAACATCCATTCATGTCAAATACCTAAGACTATATCTAGACCGCAGACTGATGTGGACCCCAACAACACTTAAAAGACAACAACTTCTACACTAAACTGATTACTATCAAGACATCCAACACCCAGCGCGTCTAAACCTTCCAATCAAAAGTTCTCAAGACAAATCGTCAAAGCTCCGTACTAGACACTAACCTCACTATCCACAACGACCTCAAAATTCCTTTTGTCAACGAACTGGTCTGCTCCCGATTCTACATGTTTCAACCAACCTCTCGATCCATCCTAACCGTACTGCTTGAGCCTTCTCCACACATTCCTATCCCGAGAACCAGTGTCCTTCGGGTGCAGCACTGGTATTACTACTGCCGTGACCTTTCCAGAGGAGGGAGCTTGGCCTTTGGCTCAAAGCCATTACTTTTTCAGCACAATGCCCGTGAACTATGAGCTCTCAACAATTGCTTTTGTCAACGAAGTGATGCATTTCCGATTCCAAAAGTTTCACACCAACCTGTTGATCCATCCTAGCCCTACTGCTTGAGCCCTTTTTACACATTCTCATCCCAAGAAATCGCCACGTCGCCTTAATCGACGATGGCCTCGAGTCTTCCTTGCACGTTAATCCTTCACACTGAGTGCCATCATTGGCTGGCTACTCATGGCATGTGACCTCTGAGTGCAGAACTGCCATTCGTTTGACTCCTGCAACCGTGTGAAAAAAAAAGTACTGTGATCACATTTGCAATGTGAATACAGCATATATGCTAAAAACAGATTAATTAATTTTTTCTTATTTTTTAAACATTGTTGGTTTATAAATTTGACTGATCAGCAAGTAGGAGTCCTAATAACGATAAAATAACCATTTAATGGCCGTAACGTTGTGGAATAGAAACAATGTCTTTGTCGGAAAAAACCCTCTCATCAGAGCGCCCAAAAAAATGAAAATAACAAAAAGAAAACCTAGGACTGGTGAAAGAAGAATGAAAGCTAAAAAATAATATTAATTAACTAAAATAATAAATTTTACCTTCATTAAAACAGATTCACTAAGTTTTTCCCTATTGATTATTTTGATGGCGACTTTTTTGCTGGTAACGCAGTGGACTCCCAGCTTGACGAGACCTGAAACAAAAAAAAATATATTTTGAGGTTTGTTGGTGAGGTATGAGATTATCAAACTATCCAGGCCCATCCAGTTTCACTAGTTTGATCTGTCTGATGATTTCAGTGTTCCGGTCATTCGTCTGATGGACCAAACCGGCGAGACCAGGCAGACCAAGATGGTCGAAGATCAAGCTACAATTTAAAAAATCTTATGCCAAACATTTTTATCACCTCCTATCTTCTGAAGACGTGAATTGGCGTTGACCTGTAATGATGGCGAAATATCTGACCAAAATGAACGGAAACGATCAGTCTACAAAATAATTAAAGCTTGTGATGATTGGTCTGCAAGTTGATGTACATATGATAAACAGATCGTCACTGATCACTTTTCTGGCTCCGTCTATACAAATTTAAACTTAATAAGGCTAAATTTGATTTTTGATCCGTTTTTGGAATTGTGTTAACTTCAGATTGCTCTTGTCTCTTCGGAAATATATCCGTCCGAGTAACTCCATGCAATATTTATCATTCCGAAATGAGAATGAGAAATGAGCCTGACTTGTTCGATCGACTCGCCATAAAATGGTTTCAAACGGTTAAATATATGATCAAACTGCCGGGTCGTATCTATAATTTCAATTTGGAGATAAATACGACTGAACGGTCGGGAGGATACGAAGTGGAAGGAATGCCAAGTACCACCGGGCACCGGGTTGAGGGTCCTCGTGCACTTTTACTCTATTCGTAATCGACTCGTCAAACACGTTTCGATCATCAATTGCTTCGCACCCTCCACTCATATAAAAAAAAAGTCTCCAATACACTAATAATGATCTCGGCCGGCTGAAAAATGCGTGCCTTTCGGTTAATTGATCGCCAATTTGTAACATTTCTTCAAGCCCAGTACCAATAAAGAATAGCCATAAAAATGAATTAAAAAATTACCATCAAATGTCTCATAAATGTTAATACTGAAGGTAACAGGAACTAAGTTAGCCAGCTTAGAAATGTTTAGGAAATGTTGATGATTTCTTGAAGTGACTGAATGAAACTAGGTTGGTGGTTGTTGGTTTGCGAACTGTAGCGATCAAGTGCCCATCAGTTCATGGTTCAAGTTTTTTATGTATTTTGAATTACTGTATGGTCGGTATGACCAAATATTTAAGAACGGTGAGGTCCCGAAAGTAAACTGCTCAAAAATGAATACTGATATTGCCAATTTGTAGTATTTGCTTTCCCTAGCATTTATTTTGATTATAAATTGCATTAAAATTTATTAGAAATTATTGTATTTTTTACTAAAGGAAAATTTAATTAAAAGATTTTGAACAATAACAAAATAAAAGGTTTTAAATCCATACAATGTGTTTAGTGACCGTTAGTTGATGATTATTTGGAGATCGTGAGACGCGGTCTGGTGTGACGTAGGTTTAGAAAAACATTTTCTTTTCTTTTAGTGTTTGTTTTCTGTGTAGATATGTCATTATTGTGTGTCGTGTTGAGAGTGCCCTGTGACACACTTTGAGCCCTGAAGATGATCTCAATAAAGCTCGAAACGTTGGCACGATAAAGAAAATGTACTTCTAAACCTACGTCACACCAGACCGCGTCTCACGATCTCCAAATAATCATTGGGTACAATAATTTTTTTAAACAACTAATGTCCTCTGTTAGCTAAAACTTAGCAGGCATACTATCAATAAGGTTTTTCATAAGGAATTTCACTCCATAGATGTTGCAACTGCACTCAGTTGTTGTAGGTCAACTGGCTTCGGATGATCATCGAAAAGCTTTCTCAGCAACGCATCCCACATGTGCTCAATGGGCTATACCTTGTTACTTCTATATTATTTATTTTAGCTTATTCTTTTGATTATGTTAGTAACCTCATGACTGTTCTTTTTTGAGCCTTGCCTGCAGATATTACATATAAACAAATAAATGCAGAATATTACGCAAGGTTGGAATAACTGTCGACCTTTGTCTCACCGTATCATCTGACCTGTGCATAGTCTCGGGGCACGGCTGCGAGCACAAATTAGTCGGTACTTAAGGGATAAAGGGATTTTTAAATGTATATAGTGTTTGTAGTGTGTCTATGTAATATTTATGTTAATATATTAGAATAAATGTAATTTATTAGCGTGAAAGGAAGAGGTTGGTTAACGGTGGTTGAGTGTGATGTCGGAGAGTAAAAGTAAGTTATTAGCGAGAATGGAGTGGGCTCGACCCCACCCCGACGAATATCGAGTACTCTGGGTGAATGTGACAAAACTTCTGCGCTTGTGGTGATATATAATGTTTTGTGTCTATTCAGTGCACATCCTGAGGTACAAATGAAGGGCTGGCATTTTAGAATATCGATTTAGTTTTCATATAAAAGCAGAGAGTCAGTAACAGATTTGGGACGCTCAAGTGGCTGGAAGATGTAAAATAGCGTGAAAGACCAGAAAAAAAGAACACGCATTGGGCCAGAAGTGACCTCAGCTATTTGTTGAACTGACTGAACTGAATTGAACTGACCGGTTTTTGAACAATGACATCTGTTTGAAAGAATATGGCAAATTTGAAGTTGGTCGAGCCCGAGTATGGCTGGTTTGAATAAATAAAATATATGATTTTCCTAAGAGGTATAATAATTCGGTAAATCCCTTATCCAAGCACGGCGTTATTATTGCCTTGCCGAATTTACAGCCGATAACTCACCGGAGAGCTCTAAACCTGTTATCGCGGATGAAATACGATCTATATTATTAAACTAACAATTGAGCGTCTGTTTATTAACATTTTCACGGGCAGCCGGTAGAAAATAATTTCACGGTAATTATCCCGTTTAATTAAACAAAAGGGGAGAGGGGTTTCAGAAACGACCCAATCAAGAGGGGTTGTCAGCTGTTTACGCGATTCTGATCGATACAAACTGTAGTGTAGTACACGTGCTTTAGGTGAAAAATAAACCCTTTGTCCTTGAGTGTCAAACGCAAGCATATTTATGTTGGATCAGACGTTAAACGTTAGGTCGACCAATTTATATTCTGTACAATATTACCCGGTTTTTGAAAACGACCTCCGCTCCAGTAGAAAGAATGTTGAAGAACCCCATTTTTTCTAAAATAATTGATCTTTACCTTTCTTTTTACCTATTCAATTCGGTTCTTCCTACAATCTACTTCTCTGTAGCATGAAAACACTAGTGCAAACCTAAAACAAGCACATTGTACTGCTTCAAATAAGCCAATAAGTCTACTGCCAATTTTAGATAAAATTGTAGAAAATAATTAAAAAATAATTCTTCCAATCATACATTCTCAAAATAAAATCTCATTAATGTTTTTCGCAACTGTCATTCAACTATCCAACAATGCCGTCGTGTCGTACACATTACCTCCCTACTCTTGAGTTGGGGCAGTATGTTCTGGGGCCATTCTTGACGTAAGCCAAGCTTTTGATCGAGTTTGTCACCCGGTCTTGCTGTTAATGCTCAAGAGCAACCTTCCCTCCATCTATTATGATGGTGATGATAATGGTGGATACAAGGAAGTTGGGGTTTTTGTTCCCCAAGCCTTCTGTCTTATTGTACTTTCCTAGTTTCGTAGTTCAGTGCTGTTCGACTCCACTCAATCTTTCTCCTATGAAGTACTAGCTCATTGATTGTCATTGATACTCGTTGATATTCCTTTCCCAGGGGTTTCTTTGAGCCAACGTCTCCATTGAGCGGTTGCTTCGCATTCGAAAGTGATATGAGTTACTGTTTCTTCCTCCACATTGCTTAACTTACAAATTGGGTCATCATTAAATATGCTTATGTTGTGTAACTATTTTCTCAGATGCCAGTGACTAGTAAATAAGGTAAATAGTATTATCACTCTGTAGTATAGCCTTCTATATCGGTAGCAGTGATTTTGTCAGTCTGGTGAGGGTGGTTTTCGTATAAGTTTCCGGTTTAGCACCGCTCGAGTTTATCCACTTCTCCTATGTTTGAAGAATAGGTTCAGTGACTATACATGGTTTTTCAGATCCTTCTCTGGCCAGTGTGTCTTGCTTTTTTACCCAAAATTCTCTTGTGTCCTGGTACCCAAGATATCATCAAGTTGTTGTTTCCCCATGTTTTGGAGTTTTTGGATGTATTCACTGATTAGTCATAATCTACAAATGGGACGTTATTAAATACGTCGTGTAGTTGTTTTCTCCGATACCAGTGATCGGAAAATAGTCCTATCACTCCTCCGAGTTTGACCGTCTCTAACTGTAGTAATTCTTTGCTAGTTTCTCACTTAACTCATGCTGCACAGTTCTCTCACTGACAGGTTTTTCCGAATCATTGAAAGCATCTCTCTCTCAGCATATTTCCTTATGCTACCTGGGTTTCCGAAGCACGGCGTTCTGGCCCCCACACTATGTCAAGTGTAGCAAGGTGTCGTTCCATTGTATCCTCAAGCTACCAAAGTCGCATTTGTAGACGATATTGCAATCTAGTAACCGCGATCCTGTCTCATTTCTGCTCGAAACCTTTCCCAAATTCTTACACACTTGAGTCTTCGTGTGAAAAGAAAATAATAACATTTCACACACAGACAAATCCACATACATTACCTTCACTCTAAAATGATCTTGCCTCCAGTTAAATAATACTCCCTTCCCGACTGAGGAAAGGTGCGGTACTTCGGACTGTACATCGACAACCGCTTGACGTGGTAGCTTCACGAATGAAACGTCAAGAAGTTATGACACGATAGAGGGCCTTCTGCGACTACTTGACAAAAGTTCTGCCTCTCAAAAATAGTTAAGCCAAAATGGGCCGGAAGCGTGGGGTTCCGCCAAACATTTAAACATCCGCCGCATCCAAATTCCACTACACATACTGTCTTAAATATTCCTTTTTTCAAGATGAAATCCTCTCTCGTTATCAAAAATTTCGCAAAACCCTCCCAACCACCGTAGGTGAACACATCAAAAATGTCGACAGATGAGACGATGGTCGCGAGATCTCCTACGAAGTGATAGTGCAAGTGATA